CTACATATGTGTGAAGACTGCTCAAGCTTCAGCGAATGATGATGAGACCTTCAGGTCATTCCAGCATTCAGCGATCAAAGGAAGCTTGCTTAGCACGATTGTTGTTGTCTTGTCCTTATGCACACAAAGGACAAAACCCATACCCTTACAAAAGTTAGTACGGACGGAGCCGACTAGTCGACTCTTTGTCCACCAACTTTAGGTAAGGATGTCTGCTCAGAAATAGTGCTTTTGTATTATTCACTGTAGCAAAGGACAAGCCTTCCTTTTAAGGCTTGACACACACTCTAAACCTACCATATTGCATTAAATGGACATTTAATGGACTGGTATAAATAAGAATTGTTTCTTCTCCATGCAAAGGGCGCGCATCTCTCTCTCTAACATAATTCTTGCTTCAAGCATCTTCTAGCTTAAAGTAAAGGATCTTTCTTTTAGCAACTTCTTTTCTTGTAATTGCTAAAGCATTGTGTGTAACCAAAGATTGTTTAGATAGGTTTTTATTACCTTATCTTTCTGCAAACAATCTTGTAAAATCTGTATTGATATTCTCTATCAATATATATTTTAAATTTAAAAATATTGTGTTTGTATTCATCCCCCCCTTTCTACAAACTGTTTCTCTTTTTGTAGACCCTTACGAGACCAACAATATTCAACACCAGTAAGTGTGTAGATGAAGATAAAGTCAGATTTGCAGTATCAATGTTGAAATCAAATGCCATGTATTGGTAGGATGTAGAATCACTAGCACAACCTGATATTCTACAAACAATGTCATGGTCGGAGTTTGTTAATCGATTTAAAGAGCAATTCTATCCAAAAGAGGCTGTCAGGAAACTGGAGGAAGAATACTTGAAGTTGGAACAAGATAACAAGATGGCATGGGAGTATACTGAGAGATTTATCGAACACTCCTGATTTGCAGAACACTATATCTCTTCAGAATCTCGTAAGGTTGAAAAACACATCTCGGGGTTAAAACCTTCAATAAGAGAGTTTGTAATTGCTACGAATCCTACCACATTTTCACTGGCAGTAGATGTTGCAGAAACAACGGAAAGAAACAAAAACAGACAAGGAAAATAGAAGGTAGTAGAAAAGAGAAAATGGGAAGGGCCTTCTATGGGGTTTAGAAGACCGAAAGTTGTGAAAACTGAAAGTCTTCTTGTTCAAGGATTTAATGGAAGACTTTGTTATCGATATGGAAAGTCGAGGCATATCTTCCGAGAGTGTTGAATGTCTCAATGTTGTTACCAATGCAATTCTCCAGATCATGCGAAATCAAATTGCCCTCAGCTAAGGGCCTCGAGGTTGACTATGGGTGGTAAGAACCAGTGCAATCGCCTGAGTATATTACTCGGGATGTATTAGTAGAAGAAATAAGTAAATTAAGAAACACTCTAACATATATTCTCGGGGTACCAGCCATGATTGAAACAGAGAGGGTCTAGGTAAATCCACATATTCAAGCAACAAACAACATAGGGGGTGATATTAAAATGTTTTTAACTTGTAAACCCCCAACGTTTTCTAGAGAAAGAGAACCATTAAAAGCAATGTGTTGGTTGAAAGATATGGAATCTGTATTAGTACCAGTAAGTGTCCAAATGAAGATAAAGTCAGATTTGTAGTATTAATGTTGAAAACAAATCCTCTTGTATTGTTGGGATGTAGAATCACTAGCAAAACCTGATATTCTGCAAACAATATCCTGGTCGGAGTTTCTTAATCGATTTAAAGAGCAATTCTGTCCAAAAGCGGCTGTCAGGTAACCGGAGAAAGAATTCTTGAAGTTGGAACAGGGTAACAAGACGGTACGCGAGTATACTGAGAGATTTATCGAATACTCCCGATTTGCAGAACACTATATCCCTTCAAAATCTCATAAGGTTGAAAGATACATCTAGGGGTTAAAACCTTCAATAAGAGAGTTCGTAATTTCTATGAGTCATACCACATTTCCATTGGCAGTAGATGTTGCAGAAACAACTAAAAAAAAAGAACAGGCAAAGAGGAGAGAAGGTAGTAGAAAAGGAAGATGGGAAGGGCTTTCTCTAGGGTGTAGAAGAACGAAAGTTGTGAAAACCAAAAGTCTTCTTGTTCAAGGATTTAATGGAAAACTTTGTTATCGATGTGGAAAGTCGAGGCATATCTCCCGAGAGTGTCGAATGTCTCAACGTTGTTACCAGTGCAATTATCCAGATCATGTGAAATCAAATTGTCCTTAGCTAAGGCCCTCGAGGTTGCCTCAAGGTCTAACCTTCATTTTGTGTTTCAAAAATGTGCATTACAGGTCTAGCTCTATCAAGGGATAAGGGAAAGGGGAAATGTGAGATTTTCCTTATGTGCTTACTTGGATTATGGAGAAGAGTTATTATATGTTGATCTTGAATACTTGTTATATATACAACTAATGTACAAGAATGATGTGGAAAATTTTATTGGATATATATATATATATATATRTGTGTGTGTGTGTGTGTGTGTGTGTGTATAACGGGAGGTTCAATAAGAATGCTAAATATTCGTGAGAAGGTAAGATCTAWGAAGTGAAGGTTCCTATGTGAATCATTATAAAAATTCATTTGAAGATGCATATGTGAACCCATATGAATAATCTGTAATGTTGGTTCACATATGCATCTTGAAACAGATTTTTTCGGATTTTTCTAGTGGATTAGATATTAACTTTTCCCTTCTTACATTCTCACAATATTTAGCCTTCTTATTTGAACCTGTCACTATATATGGTTTCAGTTGTTTAAGTTATGATCACATAAGTACATGTCTCCATATTCTACCTCGTGTAAGTGATCTTGGCAATTTTTTTAGCAGATTACTAAAAATTGTAAGTAACATTGGCTCAATAGTTAAACACTTGATTGTTGTTTGTCTGAGACACAAATACCTACAAAACCAACATTAGAGAAGATGAATTTGGAAGTTTCAAACTCACATAAGATTGTGATACAAGAAAAATATTACCATTATGAAAAGAAGACTAATAGGATTTTGTACTACAATAGTATTTGTAGAGAAGTGTTGCCATAAACGTAGAGAAGTGTGTGTTAAAAGTCTCAATAGACAGAGTGCTTTGACTTAACCATTTTCATGAAGATAGACCTTGAAACATCTTGATCAAATCAACGTGGGGATTAGCCGCCTAGCTTGACCAAACCCCTTAAATAATGTGTTTTGTTTGCTGTTTTTTATATACTTGGGGAATTTTTTTGGCTTTTTGCCATGGGCATCAGAAACGTCAGGACCGGCCCTGTAGACACGAATCGCAATCTAAGCAATTAAACTTCACCATAACTCTTAACACACTCTAAAGCACCTAAACAATACATTGAAAGACCCCAAAGCGGCTCGAAACAAAAACGAAAAATCGCAAAACAGTGAAGAATGTGACCTAAGTCGCAAGGAGGTCGCATTCCTCTCTGGAATGTGATTTTCAGCTTCAGTTCTGCCCTGTTTTGTGCATCTTCAAACCCAAATCATTCCATCTCTAAACTTGCTTCCAAATCCAGAACTTTATCAAGCAAACTCACAAAAACTCTAGTGGTAAAGGCTTGGGCATGTCATAGTCATGAACCCGAGTTCGAGCCCTGGGAGGGGAGTGTTGGCGACATTTAAGTGGGGCCATGTTTAGCCTCCAAATTTGCCGGGGATTAGTCGGGCTTTGGCCCGGACACCCTTACAAAAAAAAACTCACAAAAACTCTAATTTAAAACACGAAAATTTCTTGCACAATCAATCTTTCCCATCTATTAAGAATCAAAACCGATAATCCCCGGAGATTTTCAAGACAAAACTCAATACAAGAATTTTAATAAAACTAACAATCAAGCCATGACCTTAACTTTCACTTATGGGATTCAAACATGAAGAAACACATAAACATCAACTTCAACCAAACCTACCAAAATCCATAACATGATCTACAACTTCACTTAATTAAATATCAAGCTAAGTCTACCGAAACAACTTGGAAGCAATCACCACCACTTCCACTGTTATACCATCACAATCACCAACACTGTACCACTATCACAACCGCCACTGACACGACTATAACTGCCGCCACCATAGTACCACCGGTGTTGTCACCATCATAGCCACCACATCATTATCATTATCACCACCACCACCACTACCACGGCAACCAATTAAAATTGTTATTATGATCTTATCATTATATAGTATTTGTTACTTAACAATAAAGTATGAAAATATCATGAAGGGGTATTTTGGTAATCTATCACTATTTTACTATAATTCTAAAGTTATATTTAGAGAACCAAACCTACAACGGAGGATTTCATTCAAATCCCTATTAACTAAACACATGATCAAACTAAATTAAATTACCAAACAATTCCATTTCCTTTGACAAAAATTTCCAACACATTCCATCATATGAACCAAACGTCATCTTAAAATAAAATCTCGTAACAATTACTGATGTCTTCACCGTCAATGACCCCTTATTTTACTGCGATTAAGGTGTATTTGGTGTCCTATAGTATCCTAAATTTTCATATTACACCCTTACGTCGTCCAAAAATTCATTTTTAACACCTTACTTTGACCTTTTTTTCCACATCAGCCCAACTTCTAAGATTCAAAGATATTACATTGGTGCTGACTATTTGACTCTGCTTAAATAAACATTGTATAGTATGATAAAAAAAAATGTCACATTTGAAACTGGGATAGTGATAATATTAAGTACTCCACTTTCTAAACAGAAAATAAAATCGTTAGAATAAATAATTTTGGACAAAACACAAATACGATGACTTCGGGTTCAAATCTAAGGAGAAATAAAAATCCCCCTTGTGGCCACGGAGGTTCAAATACGATGACTTCGGGTAATCTGCAAAGCAGGTGGTCGTCCTGGGATTAGTCAGCTGCATAGCGAGTTGGATATTCAAGTTAATTAAAAAAAACCATAATAGTAACAAGTTGGTAATGACTTAACAGTTTGAAAATACAACCCGGTTTATCATGCAAAATTATTCATATATCATCTATTACACAATCAAAGTATGCATGATTAGTTAATATTTCGGGGACCATGAAAATGAAGGCGAAGTCGGTGGAGACGGATGATGAGACGACGACGAAGAAGAAGAATTTGATGAATTTGTGGTGTAGATGATAGGGTTGCGAATGAGTAACGGCACCATGTCTTCAAGCAATCCTTGTGGAGAAAATACAACTTCCGAGGATTCTTTCTGATGATCTCTTAACATGGTTGATGGTTCGTTTTTATCCGTATCTTCGGTTGGTCGTTTATGGCTTTCCAAATTGAACCTTCTAAACTTTTTAGTAGGCGGGTCGGGATTCTCTGATTGACCAAATACGAATAACGGGTACATGTAATGAAGGTGAAGTCCTTCGTAAGTGATGATCAGTGTGTCCGGATCCTCATTCGATCGCTCGACTTGCTTTTTCGCACCACATCGTGGGTTTGTGCACTTGTAATAGCTTCTGTATACATCCATAAGAAATACTTCTCATGAATAAATGTAATCAATAATATGATTGAACCGTATTATACATATATTCCAAGACTAATATTTAGTGTCATTCATTTGGGAATTTGTTAAAAGGAATATCAATAAATCTGATATACTTAGGGGCCGTTTACCAAATGCTTATTCGGGTAAGCGCTTACCAAGTCACATTACTTCACTGGATGAAATATGGAAAAGACCAAAATCATACCCGATAAGAGCGAAGGCAAGGACCGAGAGTCTTACCCGGTAAGTGATGACGACAACTCTTACCATGGTCAGTGCTTACTGGGTAAGTTGTTACATACGATGTCGTTTTGGTAACTAAAATCTTACCATGACGACAACACTGTGAAGGTTTTAAAAAGTCACCTTCACAGCATTTTGCTGTGAAGTTTCAAGTGTAAAATGTTGGTCTCACGGGTCTCACGAAAACATGCTAGTCTCACATGATCCCAAGTCTATATATATATATATATATATATATATATATATATATACTATATTATAAATCGTTTGATAAGAACTCTTAAAAATCATTTTTTATGTACGAAATATTGTTTATTGATGCATATTACTTAAAATTCAAGATTACAAGTAAATTGTGTGTAAATACAACTTATTAAAGCTTCATGTTTGAATTCGTGTAACTAACTGCAGATAAACATAATCAAATACATGATAAACATCTTGTTTTAAATATAAAAAATATAAAATATAATTAAGATAATCATTGAGTTCTAACAGAATACTTAATTATTATCTTTAAAAAAATTATATTATTAAACCTAAATTAAAATACTTTGTTACGTTAAATTAAATTATAATAAAAATTTTGAATTAAAGAAAATACACAAAACAAGAACTTTTAAATAGTTAATTTGATACTAACATCGATATATTTTTTTCAAAATTTTATAATTTTTTCAAAATTTTATAATATTTTCAAATTTATATTTTATTCAAAAATAAAAACATTATCGCTTTCTCATAACCAAATAAAACTGTATTATAATGAAACATTGAAACCGAAATGTCTCGATACATTGCAAGAGTACCCTTCTAGTATATATATATATATAGATAGATAGAAACCTGGGGTTAGAGCTGTTCTTAATAGATTTCTGACCATACTTTCTCCATTTATAACCATCATCAGCCATTACATTCCCACTGTTTTTAATCTTCAATATATACTTGTTCTCAACCCTACTCTCCATTTCTGAAATCCTGCAAACATATATATTATAACCACAAAATATATTAAGACATCAAAATGTATATAAATATTGTGAACATGTTTATAAGTACAATTGTAAACCGTTGATACGAAAATTTGATGGCCAGGTTTCGTTAGAACGATTATTAACAAACAAACAAACTAAAACCTGGCTAATGAGGAAAGATCCGGAGTCGTATTATCCGATGCCAATAATGCTGTTTCAATATCGGTTATTGTCGGGCCTGAGTAGATGCTAGATATGAAATTGTTGATGGAGTTAGCGTCGGACGAGATTTCCGGAGTGACGAAAAGGAACGGGGAGTCGTCGTTGAGAAGGTGGCATAGAAGATCGTCTTGGAAGCCTTGTGACCAGTAGCATGGCTCGAGTTCCTCCATTATGGGCTATGTTTTATGAAGAAATTAAAGAGAGGGGTGGTTGTAAATGAAGTGGGTAAGGTTTATAGAATGAAGGTGAGTGAGGGTGGAGCAGATAAAGAGGATTTGGTTATGTTGTATGTACGTAGCAATGATAAGTTGACTTTCTGTTATTTGCATGTGGTCAATTGTAATCAGTTTTGGATCATGTGAATGTATATATATATATATATATATATGTTTATCTCCATACCCTCTTTTGGTATTATATATATACACTCATTTATTGCTTATGTTTTTACTAAAAACAAGTATATTTGTTACCGACTTAATGGGACTCATAGTTTGTGTGGTTATTTATAGATGATTATTTGATAGTGGCTTAATGATATAAAAAGTGAAATAAGAAAAGGGTAATTAAGGTAGAGGAGTAGGTAGATGGATGTTTGATGCCTTGATGGGGAGGTAAGAAAGAGGGGGGTTGACTTTTGTAAAGAACCAAAAAGAGCATTGATGGAAGGGAAGACATCGGCTTGCATGGTTTATATCTCGTGGACTTGTTTGTCTCCTGGATATATACATCCAAGTTTGACATCTAATAATAATATGTGGACCATTCGTACCTAAACCATCACCCTTGTCTTCTTCTTCAATAGTCAACCACTCTATATATATATATATATATATATATATAGGGAAGGGTTCAAACGAGAACTCCTGTGATTTACGAGAATGCGAGAACAACCCAATAACCACATATTGTGATAAAAAATAAAATTAAAAGATTTTTAAAACTAAAATTGAAATTTAAAAAGATTTAGAAAATATTAAAATTAAAAGGGTAATAATGGAATGATATCATAAAATCTTTTAATACGATTACACGATCATAATTACATTATCTAATAAACGGTTAATCACGTGATATGGTGTGATAATCATGTGATTATCACACAATTATCACATTATCGCTTATATCAACACGATTTGGTGTGATATGGGTGTGATAATCATGTGATTATCACACAATTATCACATTATCGCTTATATCAACACGATTTGGTGTGATTTGGGTGTGATATGGGTGTGATAATCATGTGATTATCACATTATTGCTTATATCAACACGATTTGGTATGATTTGAGTGTGA